CGACAGATGGGCTCAGCGTCCGCATCACTGCAGACGCCAAACCAATCTGCCTGTCGATCTCCCGATCCCTCATACCCTCACTCGTGAACAAGACCCTGAGATACTTAAACTCCTCCACTTGAGGTAGGACCTCTCGCCCGACCCGGAGTAGGCAAGCCACCCTTTTCCGGTTGAGAACCATGGTCTCGGATTTGGAGGTGCTGATCCTCATCCCAGCTGCTTCATACTCGGCCGCGAACCTACCCAGCAAGAGTTGAAGGTCAGAGCTGGATGAAGGTAGGAGGACCACATCATCCACAAAAAGCAGTGATGAGATTCTCCTGCCACCAAACTCGACACACTCCACACCACGGCTGTGCCCTAGAAATTCTGTCCATAAAGGTAATGAACAAAACCAGTGACAAAGGGCATCCCTGGCGGAGTCCAACCCTCACCGGGAACAGGTCCGACTTACTACCGGCTATGCGGACCAAACTCATGCTCCTCTGGTAAAGGGACTGAAGGGCCCTTAACAAAAGGCCACCCACCCCATACTCCTGGAGCGTCCCCCACAGGGTGCCCCTGGGGACACGGTCATAAGCCTTCTTCAAATCCACAAAACGCATGTGGATTGGTTTGGCAAACTCCCATGCCCCCTCCATCACTCTTGCAAGGGTATAGAGCTGGTCCACAGTTCCACGGCCAGGACGAAAACCACATTGCTCCTCCTCAATCTGAGATTCAACTATCGATCGGACCCTCCTCTCCAGTACTGCCGGTTTAATTAACAAACATTTTTAGTGTACAGCGCCTTGTTTGGTTGTAATGCCTTGTGAATGCGCTTTATAAATAAAATTAGATTGGATTGGATTGGATTGGAGTACATTGGAGTAGACCTTTCCAGAGAGGCTGAGGAGTGTGATCCCCCCATAGTTGGAACACACCCTCTGGTCACCCTTCTTAAAGATGGGGACCACCACTCCGGTCTGCCACTCCACAGGATCTGCCCCTGATGTTGCAGAAACGTGTCAACCATGACAGCCCTACCACATCCATAGCCTTGAGATACCCAGGATGAATCTCATCTGCCCCCGGGGCTCCGCCGCTGTGTAGTTGTTTGACTACCTCAGCAACTTCTGCCCCAGAGATTGGACAGTCCATCCCCAGGTCTCCCGACTCTGGTTCCTCCTCGGAATGCGCGTAGGTGGGATTGAGGAGTTCCTCAAAGTATTCCTTCCACCGCCCGACTATAACCCCAGTTGACGTCAGCAGCTCCCCATTCCCACTGTAAACAGTGTGAGCGAGTTGCTGCCTCCCTCTCCTGAGGCGCCGGGCAGTTTGCCAGAACCTCTTTGGCGCCGATCGATAGTCTTTCTCCATGGCCTCACCAAACTCCTCCCACGCCCGAGATTTTGCCTCAGCAACTGCCACTGCTGCACCCCGCTTGGCTATCCGGTACCTGTCTGCTGCCTCCGGAGACCCACAGACCAGCCACACCCTGTAGGCCTCCTTCTTCAGCCTGACGGCTCCCCGAACCTCTGGTGTCCACCAGCGGGTACGGGGGTTGCCACCACGACTGGCACCGGCTGTGTTGATATGTTGTAGAAAGTCACTGTTTTACATGAGTGACCAGCCGAGGCCACTGTTTTTAAAGAGCACATTAGGGTAGCACAAAGAAGAAGACCACAGGTGGTGTTGATATAATAAAGAAATGTTTGTTGGAGCTGCAGGCTCAGGGACACGGAATGGTCGGCTGTGTGATCCTTCACTAACCCCTAAAGGACAAAACATGGTGTCAGGAGTGGGATTGTGAAAGTGAAGGCCGACAGAGATACCAGGCAACAGTTCCTATCAAGATGGAAAGTTTGAAGCCACCGGAAGGACTGAAGCCGGTGGGAAATGTCGACAGCAACTGGAGGTGTTTTAAGCAGCAGTTTGAGCTGTATATGGCTGCCATGGGGCTGGACTCCAAACCAGATGCAAGAAAGATTGCATTGCTACTCACTGTAGCTGGTCTTCAAGCCATTGAAGTCTTCAACACCTTTGAATTTGAAGAAGCAGTGGACAGAACCAAGTATGACAAGGTGATTGAGAAGTTTGATGGACACTGTTCGCCACAGAAAAACACTGTGTATGAAAGGTACGTCTTCCGCTCTCGGATGCAGCAACAAGAAGAGACATTTGATTGCTTTGTGACTGATTTGAAGCTGAAAGCAGTCATGTGATTTGGGAGAGTTAAAAGATTCTATGTTTCGGGATCAGATCGTGTATGGAATCTACTGTATGATAAATGGACTAGAGAACGACTACTCAGAGATGCCAAACTAACTCTGGATGAAGCAGAGAGACTGTGTCATGCCAGTGAGCTAGCTCTGCAGCATGCAAAGACCTTCGAAACAAGTGTCGCAGCATTACATGACAGTGCTTAAGTGGCTGTGGTAACACAAATGAAGAAAAACGTGCCTCAAAAGATCAGCAAAGATGACATGTACACCTGTAAGCGGTGTGGTGGCAAACATCAACCTCGTCAGTGTCCTGCTTATGGCAAAATATGCTTGACATGTAATGGGAAGAATCATTTTGCCAAACAATGTTTCTCTAAAGTCAAACCAAAATCAGTGAGACTAGTTGAAGAGACTGATTTAAGTGAAACTTTCTTTGTGGGCTTGGTGTCATGTGAAGATGTAAGGACTGTGCACAATCAGGCAGATGACAGCTACCAGTGTCCAGAAGACATGTGGTCTGTTTCCCTTCCAATAAATGGGGCTTTGGTAACACTAAGGATTGATACAGGTGCACAAGTTAATCTGATCAGCATGACAGAGATTCGAGGCATGAAGAATAAGCCCAAGATACTCAAGAACAAAGTACCATTAAAGGACTATAATGGAAAGGACATTGAAAGCCTGGGGCAGTGCAGACTTAGAGTAACAGTGAAACGCAAAGAGTGTGATGTTCTGTTTACTGCTGTCCCAGAAGGACGTGAATCACTGCTAGGTGGTGCTACATCTAAGAAATTGAATCTGCACCAAAATACCGCAGCAATTTCCTAATGTTGTGACTTGGCACACATATGGCAATAAAAACTTCTGATTCTGGTGAAAAGAGTGTTTTACATCAACTATGAAGAAGTAGTGGGTCCACACCCAGGGAGTGTTGACTCCATTGTGCAGCATTATGAAGATGTGTTCAAAGGCCTGGGATGCCTACCATACACCAAAAGCATTCAGATGAAAGAAGATGCGACACCAGTGATCCATGCACCAAGGAGAGTCCCTGCTCCGCTAAAAGACCGTTTAAGAAAGGAAGTGGACAGGATGTCACAGTTAAAGGTCATCACCAAGGTGGAGGAACCAACTGAGTGGTTCCTCCCCCTCTCAAGGACTTGGGTTCCAGAGCCAATGCTATGTGTCGAGGTGAGTCGGACTACATCTAGCTCAGTATTGCTCAACCTCTGCCACAAGCTCCTGCTCCTTCCCCGCCAGCGAGGTGACGTTCCATGTCCCAAAAACCAGTTTCCTTGTCCGGGGATCGGACCGCCAAGGCTCCCGCCTTGGTCTGCCACCCGATCCACATTGCACCGGACCCTTCATGTTCCTCCTGCGGGCAGTGGGTCCACAGTTGGATGAGCCCATGTATCCGGTTCGGGCTTGGCCTGGCCGGGCCCCATGGGCGAAAGCCTGGCCACCAGGCACTCGCTCACGGGCCCCAACCCCAGGCCTGGCTCCAGGGTGGGACCCCGGTAACCCTCTGGGCCAGGTACTCCGACTCTTTGTTTTTACGTCCATGAAAGATCTTCTGAACCGTTCTTTGTCTCACCCTTCACCTAAGACCCATTTGTCATGGGAGACCCTACCAGGGACACAAAGTGCCCCAGACAACATAGCTCCTTGGATCATTAGGACACTCAAACTCCTCCACCACGATAAAGTGACAGTTCAAAGAGGAGTGTGCGAAAAGAGTGTAAAAATAAAAACGAATGACATGTGTTCATAGGGGAGTAGCTGGTGTGCTGAGTCGATGCATTGCACGTGAGCGGTTCTGGGGATGCAGCCGCTCACAGCGCCACTCCAACAGTGCGATACCCTCACTAGGGCCGAGCAAAATGTCAAACACACCAGAAATATGTGCAAGCTCACAATTGCTGATTGTTAGATGGTCATGTGGTGTTAATCGCCTCTCATAAGCCCCTGTATACCACACCACAGCTCAAAGTCAGCTCAAAGTCAAAGTGTACGCCTGGCTTTAGACCCCCAAAGTGTGACATCAAAACAATCCCTGATTTGATGGATTGCTGCCATCTTTCAATGGTGTGGAACACTGAAAAATAAATTTTTTGTTGATTATTTCCTATTATAATCAGTCACTCTAAGATTTTCATGCAGGCTGAACATGGAAATGGTCTCCTACATCTGCTGCATTAGCTTTTGATAGAAAATAGACTCACAGATCTACGTCACAGCATCGCCTAACATTCATTAACTCACCCTTCTTGACTCACGACGGAGAAGGCTGTTTGTTTAGCGTCCAGGAAACAGCAGAGAACATCTCAGCTAGTGGAAGCTAACCATCAGCATTAGCAACTTCACACAGCAGAACTCCTTCAGGCTTGTGCTATTTTTGGAGATAAAACATCAGTGTTGGAGAGCAAACAGAGTTAGTGGTAGAGTGGTGTTGCTGATAGCCAATCAGAGACCAGATACCCAAATATCAAGAAATGGGTCCTGCCTTCTGAAGCTACTTTCTCTTCCAGCTGACTTCTCTGAGCTGACAGAAGCCCTTCTGGACCTGCAGGGCATTCATTTTGACTAGACCGTTGCAGATGTATTGATTAAACGAGTATTGAACACCTTTAACATTCTCCATGACTTTGGGTTTTTATGTTTGTTTCTGTAAGTAAAGGTGTCCTAAAGATGTTATTTAACCAGTTCCTGGTTTCAAGATCTCCCTTTATAAAAACATGACTAGCTAAGTTTAAGACAAAACCAAATCCAGCACATTTCCTCACATTGTCTCCTCAGGGCCGCTGGTTTTGGAGGGTTCGCAGGAACAGGGTTCTGGATAATTACCCAATGCCCATTGGTCACTTCTGGAGGGGCCTGCCCGGAGACATAGATGCTGCTTATGAAAGACATGATGGCATGTTCGTCTTCTTTAAAGGTAAGCAGCAGGTTCTCATAAACACACTGATGCCTTCAAGCTCCTCAGGGAACAATTTTATGGAGTAAAAACTCATGAAAAATGTGTTTTCTGGCTTTTTAACATGAGAGCTATTTCATGACCATGTGGACTTTGTATGAAAGCTCATAAAAACTTTATTCTTTAGATATTTAGTCCTTATCATAACTCACCCACTTTTATGAAATATACTGTTCTTTTCTCCCGACTCCAGATAAGTAAAAGAGGATGGTTCATTTCTAATACAATTTGTAGATTGTAGTTTTCTGAGCATATTGGATATAAGTAAGCATATATTTCATGTGTACTTTGGGCTAAAAACTTCCACCATCTGTTTTCTCCTTTAAAATCCAAATAGAGTTATATTTCCTCCGGGTGACTTCAGACTGTCGTGCCCTCATGCTATCATATAGTCATAGTAAAACCGATCCCAGAGCTCGGTCCTCCGTTTGCAGCGATTCATTATGCATTCTACATGCAGGGCATAAATCTTTATTAGCACGGCCTGTTTTTTAGACTGTGAGAGCAGATTGTCTTTTATAACTCTCAGTGGAAGTTGTTGAATGAAAAAGGAAGAGCCCAGCCTTTAATTGTGCTTGACTCTGGGAGCTTCAGGCTTCAGGGCAGCTGTTGATAATGTGGGGAATGATGTCATTGGCAAGGCGCTCAGCGTGACACTTGGCTTCGATCCAGGAACGAAGGAAGGGCCAGACGAGCGAAAGAGGAGGAGGGATGAAAGTAAGAGCTAGCAGAGCTGAAGGCCTAATGGGAAGGAGGGAGACAGCAGTGGGATGTCTGTTACTAATACACGAGCCCATCAGATCAGTCCGTTTTACGTCACTCTTCTCTGCTCGTGCTCATGTTAAATGGGCCGACATAAACTGATTGGGCCACGAATGTCATCAGTCACTGTCTGATGCAGATATTCTTTTTAAGTATAGCTGAACACGTTTAAAGTCATGTGATTGTAGAAAAGGTGGATGTTTAACATTTGCTTTCTACGTTCATCAGTTTGTATTTTAACATGGCCTCATTCACATTTAGTCTAGGGCTGGGCTAGGCTACAGTAGCTGGAATAGCTCAAATACAGCCTCTTTTTCATCATAGAGTGTAGGTTGTTCAGAAAACTCCAGGTGTGTTTGATCACTTCCCCATATCAATAAATCTGGCCCCTCCTGGGTTTGTTTGGTCTTTCTGTTTGGAGTGACTCATCAAATCTCACAAGCAGCTGCTATGAACTCCAAAATAGTCGATAAAAAAAAATGGGTTCCAGAGTGAAGCATTTTTTTCTGTTGTATAGACAGATCCAACACAATGTTTAGAAAACAGTGATGTCAGCAGTGACGAGGCTTTATGTGGGGGATCCACGCCTCGGCGCCAGTGTGTGGTGGCAGCGTTGCAGCGCCACTTACAGCGTGCCGCGTCATTGTCAGGGTTTCCATGTGGATAAATTAATTTCATGGACTGATTCTCTTTATCAAGAGTAGATTTAGAAGATTGCTTTGGAAACACATTATTTCCATGTGGACAAGGTCAAGGAGGAAAGTGCACCAATACCTTTTTTTCCTCTTCTGGTCGGTAACAAGATGGCGCCTGTGCTTGGCTTAGCCGCGGTCACCGGCCACTTTTTCTAACTTTTCTCCACTAACCTCCTCTTGTCCACCTTGCTCCTGTCTGCGATCGTCTTCAGTAGTGTCCCCGCTACCATCTCCTATGATCGCCAGACTCTTTTGTCCTTCCGTTCGTTCACGATCGCCCAAGATGCACCGAGGACATACCTTCCTGTTTGTTTACCTGATCGGCGTGCTGGCCCGGAGCCAAATGATTCCTACCAGGATGCCTCCAGCGATGTTTATCCGGTCCCGGGAAAACGTCGAAGGAAAAGAGGTAAACGAGCAGGAATCCAGGTGAGAATAAGACTTCTCTTAAAGCGTGGTTTATCTGGTAAACATCGGCGCGATCTTCTAGCTTCTTGTCCTTTGTTTGGTGACTTGAGCACAACTTCCGCATTCCCGCCAGGCCGCGTTGCGACGCGGTTCATCCTTCCAAGTTTTTTAAGGTCGGTTTCTCCTCATTCCTCAGTGGTTTCTCCTCCTGTTTTTAGAAACACCGTGGATCTAACCCTGCTAATTTACGTCCACTAACTCCAGCTGTTTCTGTAGTTTCTGATTCCTCCACCTCACTCAGCATGGCTCTATTAAATTCCCGCTCTGTTAACAATAAGACCTTCCTGCTCCATGATCTAATTCTGTCTATAAACCTGGATTTTATGTTTCTGACTGAAGTTTGGCAGCAAACATCTGATTATTCTGCTCTGATTGAACTCTGCCCGAGTGGTTATTCTTTTCTTAGCCAGCCCCGGGGTTCTGGTCGGGCGTAAGGACCCGTTCTACTGTGCTGTGGTCTATCGTCCACCTGGTCCAAACAGTTCTTTCCTTCAGGAGTTTAGTGACTTTCTATCCTCCACTGTGAAGCTGTCCAGACTGGTGATTGTTGGTGACTTTAACATCCACGTTGATGATCCCTCCGATCTCTTTGCCATGAATTTCTCCAGCCTTATGGACTCCTTCAGCTTTACCCAGCATGTTTCTGGCCCCACACACACCAGGGGGCACACTCTAGACCTTGTTTTTACCCTGAGTCTAAATGCTGACAGTGTTTGTCCTGAGGACGTTTATATTTCAGATCACCATTGCATTTTCTTTAACTTGTCAGTTTCTGCGTCCCCACCTCCTGCTCGCCGTTTGGTTAGTTCTCGTTTTCTTAATGAGAGCACAGCTAGCAATTTTTCTGCTGCTTCTGATCCACCCTGTTCTTCTGATAACGACCCAGATTCCTTAACTTCTCAGTTCAACGAGCACTGCCTCTCCATTCTGGACAACATCTGTCCTGTCAGAACCAGATCAGTTCCTGCAGTGAACCCTACTCCCTGGTTTAATGACAGCCTTCACAGCCTGAAGCGCCAATGCAGAAAAATTGAGCGTTTGTGGAAGAAAGCCCATCTCCACGTCCATCTGCTGCACCTAAAGGATCTTCTGACATCCTTTAACTCTGCAGTCAGACGCCAGGGTTTCCTATTTCTCCAACCTGGTGTCCCAGAGCAAAGGGAACCCCAAGGTGCTGTTTAACACCATCAGCAGCATCGTCTCTCCTGCCTCTCCTACAGCCTCCATCCACTCTGTTGCAGACTGTGAGAACTTTCTGTCTTTCTTTGTGGACAAAGTCAATAAGGTTAGATCTAGCATCTCTCCTTCAGCCTTATCGCCGCCTCTCCCGACTCCAACCAGGCCCATCATCCTAGATAGCTTTGCTCCTGTTTCTTTGCCTGAGTTAACCAAACTAGTTAACTCTATGAAGACCTCTGCATGCCCCCTCACATCTTACCCTCATCTTTGTTTAAAAGTGCTTTTCAGTCCATCGGTCCCAGCGTGCTCTCTATAATTAATGCTTCTCTGGTCTCTGGTCAGGTCCCTGCTTACTTTAAGAACGCTGTAATCCACCCGCTTCTTAAAAAACCGAGTCTCGACCCCTCTCTCCATAGCAGCTTCAGTCCCATCTCTAAACTTCCGTTCATCTCCAAGATCTTGGAAAAGGTTGTGGCTAAACAACTCACAGCTGCTCTTGATGAACAGAACATCTATGATAGCTTCCAGTCAGGTTTTCGTAGAGCTCATTGTACTGAAACAGCTCTTCTTAGGGTCTCTAATGACCTTCTGACTCACAGTGATGTAGGGGACTGTTCTGTTCTGGTCCTGCTGGACCTGACTGCAGCCTTTGACACTGTTGACCATCACCTGCTACTGGAGAGGCTGAGAGACTGGGTAGGCCTATCAGGATCTGCTCTGGAGTGGTTCTTCTCTTATCTCTCTGAGCGCTCCTTTTCTGTGGCCGTCTCCAAGTTTAGGTCCTCCACCACCTCTCTTACCCATGGTGTCCCACAAGGTTCTGTGCTGGGGCCTCTGCTCTTCCTCCCCTATCTGCTTCCTCTTCAGCACATCCTGAGCTCCTTCAAAGGAATCTCCTACCATCTTTATGCAGATGACATCCAACCGTACATCTCCTTTAAGCCCCATAAGATGTCTAAGCTGCAGCTGTTACACACCTGCTTAGACTCTATCAAAACCTGGATGGTGGGAGCTTTCTTCAGCTGAATGAAGATAAGACTGAGATCCTCATCTGTGCCCCAAAGTCAGAGACTCTCTTGGTCAGCTTGCTTCTCACACCAAACCTTCCGCCAGGAATCTTGGCGTGACCTTTGACCCAGCTCTCACCCTGGATTCTCATGTCAGTTCTCTTGTTGGCTCTTCCTTCTTCCATCTCAGGAACGTTGCTAAGCTGAGTCCCATTCTGTCCCGCTCTGAACTTGAGACAGTTCTCCACACCTTCATCTCCTCACGCTTAGACTACTGTAACTCTCTTTTCACGTGTCTGAGCAGAACCTCCCTGAACCGTCTACAGGTGGTTCAGAACGCCTGTGCTCGGCTTCTGACCAAGTCCTCCAAACACACCCACATCACCCTGCTTCTCCTCCAGCTTCACTGGCTGCCAGTCAACTTCAGGGTTCATTTCAAGATCCTGGTTCTGGTCTATAGGGCCTTACATGAACAAGCACCATCTTACATTGGTTATCTTCTTAGTCCCTACACCCCCAGCAGGTCCCTGAGGTCCAGTGATCAAAGCCTACTGGTTGTGCAGCACCAGGCTAAAGGTCAAAGGTGACAGATCATTTGCTGCTGTGGCCCCCAGACTCTGGACCTCTCTCCCCCTGAGCCTGAGATCAGTGGACTCAGTGGTCTCCTTTAAAAAGCAGCTGAAGACTCACTTGTTCAAGCTGGCTTTTGTATGACCTTCTTCACCTCTCTCTCTTTATTCTGCTCTCCCCACCTATTCCACCTTCCTCAGGATCCACTGACTTCCCTCTTTCCTGTTCACTCTCTCTCTTTCTTTACATTTTTTAAGCACAATTGTCTATTTTTTGCTAATTTTAAATATATTTTACACATTTTCTAAATTCTTTTTTATATTTTTACATTTTTTGTTTTTGTGAAGCGCCTCGTGATTTTTGTCTTGAGAGGCGCTATAGAAATGATATTTTCTTCTTCCTCTTCTAACCCTAATGGTGGTTTAGATTTGCAAAGTTGACTTTTGTCTACGAGTTTATCAGAGTTTACCTCTTAATTTAATGTGTTTGGGTGAAAAATCTGTGTTTTTTTTTTTGAGTAAAACACCTCTATCTGAAAATGCCAGGGAAGTTGTAGCTACATTGTAGTTTATCACCACTAGTGTGTGAATGTCTGTGCTTGTGCTGTAAAGCACCTTGGGGGGTTGTAGAACCCTAGAAGGTGCTTTATCAAAACCATTTACCTGAAAAGAATGAATCAATCCATGTTCATCATATATGTCAGAGACCTTTATGTGACTCGTTTATAGAAACCAGGTGTGTTGAATCAAGTAGGACAGGCAGTGACTTCTGTAGATGAAAACAGAGGTCTTGTTGTTCATTATAGAAGATTTATATTTATGGTGAATGTGCATGGCACTGGCGTGATCACAGGCACTGTGGTTATCGTCACCTGCCCTAAATATAACTGAGCTATTGATGTCGAAGAAGGTCGAGATGATGTGAGAAAATCCTGAGAGCACTGCTTGGAGCTCCACTCAGGATTGACTATCAAAAATATCTAGAGAGGGTTAAAGGTCACTAGCAATGAAGCATTTGGTCTGGTTTTATTTGGGACGTGAATGGTTGGATAAACAGATGTACAGTGGGTGTAGAGCTGGAGGTTGGTAAAGGGTTTGTGCTAGAGGGAGGATTATCCATCCATCCCATCTTTAACCATTTAACCAAAAACTTTTCATGGAGGTAGAAGATTCAGAGCTGAAACTGAATTTGATGAAAGCTCTCCTCCCAATGAGATGCGCACCTAGAGAAAAGGGACCAAAAACATCACAATCAGATTCCCAAACCAAGTCAGTGAACTCTGATGAGTGGGGAGCAGTAACTGCTCTACTCCAAGCTCTACCTGGGTAACTCTATGTCTAAGGTAGAGTTTAACCCTCTTAATGAAAGCTTATTTTCATCCTGATTGTCATTCTTTACATTATTCCAAGTCTTGAGACCTAAAATGGGTGTACAACAATAGATGGACCATTTAGCCGGGGGCTCCTTCTTCTCTAAAACACACAAGAGCATGGACAGTGAAGCACTGGCCTGTCAGGTCAAGTCTCAGATCTGGAGGAGCTGACTGTTTCATCTGATCTGCATCATCTCCAGGAGCAGGGATTCCCAAATCAGAGCCCCCAGGACTGTACCCTACATGGGGGAAAACAGCAGAAAGAAACCTGTTTTCAGTCTGACACAATACCAGCCACTCCTAGTAAATAACTGCAAGCCAAACCCAACTTCTTTGTCAGTGACGTCGTACTTTCTCCTGCTCTGTTTGGATCACTTGCCAGCAAGTCATTACTGCACTTGTATCATTTACGAGTGTTCGAAGGCTGCTTTTGTTTCTGGGATGGTTGTTTTTTTGCTGAGAATGCCAGAAAAAGAAAAGCACAGGCAAATGCGTTCCCTTGCCTGTCAGAATGAGACTTAATTTTTAGACATGTTTGTAACCAAGCGCACATGTCAGTATGCTTGTGTGTTAACATGTTCCATGTGGTTTGTGTTTGACGTTGTAAAGGGAATAACCAGATCTTTAAATGAAAGTAAGATCGTAAAACACTTTTTTTTTCTTTGCTTTCTCAGGAAACAGGTTTTGGCTTTTCAGGGAGGCCAACCTTGAGCCGGGATATCCCCTGGATCTGGTTGATTTTGGCATCGGTATTCCGTATGACCGAGTAGACACAGCTATCTGGTGGGAGCCCACTGGCTACACTTACCTGTTCCAGGGAGACAGGTAAGAAAGCTTCCAGTCCCAGTAAAACTCTCGGCTTGACCAGCTGCACTTTTAGCTGAATAATGTTTGTGTAACCTGAGCGTTTCGGTTTGTTTTAGACATCCTTTAGCTCTGAACTCCTCACACAACAGCCGACCCACCTTTACTCTACACAGGAAGTGATTTCACTGTTCGGTCATTGCTTTTATTGCTCTTTAAGATTCCCAGCACTACTTTATGCTCACTAAGCTAAAGAAATGAGTGTATTGGAATGTGCCAAGTCATGAAAATGTGCTAAAGTCAGACTTTTTATTCTGTAAGATGTAGCTTTAACGAAAACCCGATGTTGTAAAAAGAACTGCAGGTCTAAACGACTGGTGGAGGATCTCTAGGCACGGGGCAGCAGGCTGGCTTTGGTCTTCATGAATGTTGGGAGCAGATTTAACTGTTTGCTCCGTAAACACATTATTTATTCTTTACTCCGTACGAAGGCTGATTTGTTTGGGTTTAGACAGCCAGGAAACACATAAACCTGGTTCCTGCTTATGTGTGCAGCTACTGGCGCTTCAACGAGCAGTCGCGTGTGGCTGACAGTGGCTACCCTAAGTCTATCACCATTTGGGACTCCTCCGTCCCTCCTACTCCCAAAGGGGCTTTCCTCACTGATGATGGAGGTGAGCTTTGACAGCATGGATGTGTTTGGGTGTGTAGATTTGTGAGAGATCGAGGCATGCCTGGAACGAAGAGATTTGGTTTGATATGTGCATGTTGTATGATTTCACTTGAGCACATTCTTCATCTCTCTGTGCGCATCCTCATGGTTTTTTACGTGTTCTGGTGTTGTTGCATTTTTCAGCATACACCGTCTTCTATAAGGGATCCTATTACTGGAAGTTTGACAACCACCGTATGAAGAGCGAGCCAGGCTATCCAAAGTCCATCCTGAGAGACTTCATGGGCTGCAGCGTGGACCTGAACCCAGACAGAGACACTGACTTGGGGCCTAGATATCCCGATGTAAACCGCCCACCGTTCAACCCAGACGCAGGGCGTGATGGAGACAAGGGCAAAGGTCGGGGCGGGACAGATCGAGACGATTCAGACAAAAACAAGGGCAAAGGCTCAGACAAGGACAATGATGAAGACTATCGCGAGGGCCGGGAGGAAGACACCAATGAAGTGGACGTGGTTTTGAAGGTAGATGACAGCGTAGAACGGACCATGAACATTCTGATGGTGACCATCCCTCTGGTCCTGGTGCTGTGCATTCTGGGACTGATCTATGCCATCATTACCACGCTTCAGAGTAAAGGGGCGCCCCGGCTGCTGGTGCACTGCAAGCGCTCACTGCAGGACTGGGTCTGACCACGGCTTGGGGAGGCACTGAACTTTGAACTTGAAGTGAATTTTAGATTCCTCCGATGTTCTAACCCACACCTCCTCCTAGTGATCCATCTGTCTCAGTGGCCCCTGCAGCTCTTCGTAGATCCATGCTGATACCTTATGGAGACATAGGCACACGCAAACTCTGAGCAGACATGAATAGTGTCTTACATCTACACACACAAAGACCTAAACCGCCTTCATCTCCCATGGTGCTCTGCATCGCACTGACTGAAGTCTATTTACAAGAGAGAAGTTTGCACATTGTTTTTCTTTGTATTCATTCTGTGTGAGACTTTCTGTTGTTGGAAGGCTCTTCTGTTCTCACCCATCTCTGCACTCCCCCCTCCTTTCACCATTCTGAGCTAGAGTTGTTTCCTCGTGGGACAGACAGCGTAGGACATCAAAGATGTTGGTTCGACAGTAGCTTGGTCACTACAGACGTCTTATTGTAGTCAGGAGCGAAGATGTCCGATGAGCCTGGGAGGATTCTTTTAGCGATGAGGCAAAATTCATCAGTAGTCGTAACTTTGCATTTATTATTCAAGCCGGCGTCACGCTGGGTTGTGACTTCTGGTGGGAACTTAGGAATAGTACTTATTCATGTTTGGGTTTCCAAAAGGTCTCGACATTTGTGGTTCTCAGCTTCTTCGAGTGAGGCTCAGGCCAATGCAGTTACTTTTTCACCAAATATTCTCATCCACATTATTCCTACAGGAGCAGCTCAACTACCCCATCAAAGCACTAGGTTAGCAGCTCACACCCATTCAGTGGAGGTTTTTTTTATGATGGGTGGACAGGAAGTGCCAATAGAATCGGATCCAGCAGTGTTGCTACATAAACTGATGACAGGTGTCTGGAACACACTTTAGAAATAGTTGGTGACTAAATAGGATGAGATGGTCAGGAAGGCACTTTGAGTCTGAATGTGACCCAACTCATTTCTCGTGCTTAAGTGTTCTTTAGCATTCAGGTCGTTTTGGCCGTGGAGGACAAAGACCGTCCTTGTTGGACACACCGACATTGTGATGCAGGCATGTTTGCGATACGTTTGGCAGTACGGTAGCCTGGCCTGCCAGACTCGCCCTCTGTCTAGTCTACACAGAGGACGAGTCTGGATGCTCACAGGCAGAGAGGCACATGAGGGGCGGGACTAGCCAGCTCAAAATAACCAATCAGAAAAAAGATGGAAATGACGACTGTACCGCGCGACGATGTCGTTTTTTAGCTGTAGTCAAAAATGGCGTCTGGCGACAACACTACCATCTTTCTTTAGAAGAACGTGTTCAGCACTTCTACTTGTTGTGGGTTTAAAGATGTGTCCAGGCCATTTAGAACAGAGGAAAGAGCCGCAGCCAACTCCGCTCCAGATGCCATCTTCATTGTTTATGAGAACCTGAGCGTGTGTGATGTACGCTGCTCAGCGCTGATTGGCTCGGTTAGAATTCTCAGGGGAGGGGTTATCTGAATGAGAGGGTTACCAGGCCCTTAGCTTCCCGTAAGGAAGCGTTGGCGTGGCTGGCCAAGCTAGCAGTCCATATCACACGCTGGTTGTAAACTAACTACTAAGGTCAGAAAGAGAAGACAACCTCGGGTTATGTAATGCGATGCTTTGCATTAGTGATGTGTTTGTTTCCTGTTCACCTTCCAACAAAGCAGTGGTCTAAACTTCAATGATCTTTATTGGCTGCTTAAATAACAACTTTTATTGGTAAAATCTGTTTTACAGACAACTGTATGAGACCACCCACCTGTGTGCTGAATATGACGCTTAAAGCAGCACAAATGTAGCTGAGAACAGCCATTAGCTCCCTTTGGGGTCTGTTGGTGACAAAACCATTCTGACATGTCTCTGAACTTCATGTTAGAGTCTACCATGGCTGGAAATGAGATCATATTCATAAAAAGTTCCAGGACACATGTTCTCTCAGTCACATATGGACGTGTGGAACCAGCTCAGTCCTGTTCGGGTTTTGTTTCCGTGGGCGAGGACGTGTAAGAAAGCTTGACAGATTTGGAAGTGTTGCAGAGACATGATTGAGACTCTCTGTGACTAAACTGCAACAAGAACGTTTGTTGTTTGATTTTCACTTGACACGTCCATTGAACTGCTCACTAATAGGTCATGCAGATCAGTTCGGTGTGGCCGTTACTCAGGATTTGCAGATTCATTTGCAGTTGTGTGTAAACGACACAACCCAGTCAGACTTCAGACTAAATAATGCTCGCACAGTTGGACAGCAAATCCTCTTCCTTCTCCTTAAATGGAAGCGGTTTAACTACCTCTGTGTCCTAAAGGGTAACCAGCCTTGAAAGAGGACCTCTTCCCTTTGGTCTGTGCTCCGGAGCTGATGCTCCGTCTGCCTCCTCTCTGTCAACAGCCAAGCCCTCTGCCTTGCTGCGTAGGAGAGGAACCAGTAACTAATGCAGCACGATGACATTACACCAGGGTGGGAGCGCCGACTGTATAAGAAGCTTAAACTTGATCAGTGGCAGGCCACAGGTAGTGTAGCAGTTAATAACAGACTGTCTGTTAAGAATGGAGACCTTTGACCTCAGCGTTGGCAGATAGGGTATCTGTAAGCACCAGGGTGGGCTCGGGCCTCTCAGGCTCATGTGAGCAAAGACTAATCCTCTTCATCAGAAACAGCAGGTGTGTGCAAATGCCATGAACCCACAGGACCTTTCACCGAAACCTTTAAATCACCGAATCCAAACGCTCTCTGCTGCTCTTTCATCTCTCCAGAACAAAGAAAGTTTCCCCCAAAAACATTCAGATCAGCCATCTACTAATGACCTCAAGCAGCTTTACAGATCAGATCCTCATCACATGGTTTTTTTTTCCTGCAAAACTAAATTCTGCTTTTTCATTCAGAGTAAATTCATAACGTAAACATGATATTTATTTTTACAAATATCTGATTCCAGATGTACGATTATTTGCTTTAAATGGATTCTTGGGCTATCCTTATTAAAAACACTAATTATTAGCATTAGTGGCTAGCCGGAGTGCAGCTAGGCCAGATTGTGCCATCTTAAAACTAAATAGAAAGATCTAGTGTTTTAATTGTCATTACTTTGTCATTTGTCATACAATCACATAATAATTTGGTAAATGAAGGAAGGCCTTCTGCTGCTGCTTGCATCTGTGCTCGTGAACAAGAAAAGACATCCAGAACCTTACCATGAGATGCAAAACTGACAAAAATGCAAAGGTTCATCACATTTAATTAGCACCAACCTTTGTGAAATTGTAAACATTGCAGTAGTTTTAAAGTGGAAGCAACACATTGTGGTCTGTGCTGTTCCCAGACCAGCCGCTAGCAACACTGAGTAAGGTAGTCTGGATGAGTCACTGGGTAGGTGGGGTTAAAGAGCAAAGGGAAGAGAAGTGAACAAAGCTTCTTCTGGAACAACTAACGGGTTGAGTGAAGGTTGACAGGAAGGAAGGACAGGCTTATCTGAGGGGTCGGGTTACTGAAAGGGAGGGTGAGGAGAAATGAGGAAGGGGGAGGGGACTGAGGGAAGGAGGGCCGCTCTTCCTGAGCTTGCAAACTTTGGATGTGAGGAACAAGGAGGGGAAGGATGAGGAGCAGATAGGGAGAGGAGATCCTCAGTAACAACCTCGATGAGGGGGGACGCCGTTGTTAGCACCACGTTTGAAGGCTGTAGTTGTTGATGGAACCTCCCTTCTTCATACTGAGCCCTCCATGTTTATTATTCTTAAAGCCCCGCATTCACAGCCAGAGGCTCTGCGCCTCAAGGCTCCTGCTAGGTGAAGACAGGTCGAGGTTGCAGTCAGAGTTAACAGGTCGCTGGCCTGAGGCAGGTCGATGGTGGTTGCTAGGAAACGGTGTCCTGTGTCCATCACTCACCTCTTCATCACTGAGATTTTGTGGGTTAGGGGTGGGGGGAGCAGACGCAGCTAATCAGCGTTAAAAGCATCGTCCTCTCCCCGTCCCACGCGTCCATCAGACAGCCGGGCGTCTGGACAGGCTCAGAATCTGCAGACTCACTCAGCAGGACACATCAGCCTGCTTCTCTGACCTCCAGACGACCGGAGCGAACAAAGAACCAACTTTAAAGATGTAAAACGCTGAGTGTGCCAGAGTTCTCGTGCTTGAGCGGGTATTGTCTCAGGACACTAAACGGGAGACGAGCACTGAAAGAAAAGTGTCACAGCTGATAGATGCTGGCCTTCATGTGTCGAGGTGTTCCGTTAATCTGGCCTCCTTTCTGTCAGCGAGCCGTTTCCTGGTTGTAAATCCCCCCAGGCCTGGAGGGATCGTAATAACAACAATGGCTGGCTCTCTTCCCCTCTCCTCCTCCAGCTTTTCCTCTCTTCCTGATGAATACTCCCTACAGACACATTATTGTCCCCACCTCCCATTAGGAAGCTGGTCCGAGCCGAGGCCCCGGCCGCACACAGAAGTGCCTGTTTTAGATGCTGCTACAGCCGCTGAGGGATTGGGTTGGATAAACGCCGTTCATATCAGCTTTGTTTGGGAAGATCTGGAAGCAGGTTGCACTTAGTGATTAAAATCCTGGACGCCCAGTTTGAAGCGTCAGCTCCTAATGTGACGTAGGGACGACCTGGACATGCTGAGCTTTCGTCTGTCTCAGGATGCTTCTGGAAACACGATGAGCGCTCGTGGCTCAGGCCCCATGTTTCAGCCCTCAACAGCCGCTCTTCCTTTATCTTTGGCCCTGTTTTGACTACATGAGTTAAATTCAGCATTCAGGTATTTGTCAGCTTTCCACACGTTTGGTTTTATTTGTAATTGCCGTGTGTGTAGAGAGCAAAGTACTGCATCTGCCCCCTGCAGGCTCTAACAGAAAAGTCTGGAATCAAAAATCTGAACACTCAGGATTCAGTCACCTACATAACGGTACATCTAAATGTCCAGGTTTACATCTAACGGGGTGGTTTTCACTACATGTTCAGCTGTGATGGGCTGCTCACCTTTCCTCTTTCCCATTGTGAGCAGGAAAGAGTGAATTCATGTTGAACGGACACGGAGATCCAGAAAACAGCAGAATCTCTGCAGAGAAGAGACCTAAAGTGTCTGAGTTGTTTTTAATGTGGATCATTTATTATCAAAGAGACCTTATGTAGGGCCTCTTCACCCCATCTTTGTTTCCTTTCGGTTTAAAACTGCCACATAAATGTTTAGACTTTCATATGTTGGTTTCTGCAGGTGATAGATGTTAAGTTTTGTCTAAACATCCATGTTGTAAATGTGATACTGAGTCAGCGTGTTTCTGTTTACGTCTGAGAAATGCAAACTCCATTACTGCGGCTGAGTTGTGTGATAACCCAAGACTACGGGAGGCGGAGTCTTTGGAACATGGCGGATCGTTTTCTCTTTCAGTTTCACTTCAGCAGCTCAGAGGAGTCATGGCTGTCCAGAATCTCCCAGAAGGCATCTCAGCTTGCTCACTGAGCCCAGTCTCCCCAAAACCACTCGATTAACTTGAACACCACTCAGCATCACCACTCAGCCCTTCACACACACACACACACACACACACACACACACACACACACACACACACACACATGGAAACTGTTGAGCGGGCTCCGTCAGAAAACTGCCTCCATCTTCTAGTTGCAGCTACAGCCGTGAGGAGAGCTCGTTGGACTCCGTCGGGTCGGTGCTGACCGTCACTAACATCTCGCTTTAGGTCCTTTGGACTTGTGTCTTTTTAGTGATTTCTGGAAAATAGATCATTTGAGCATCATCTCTGGGATGAGAGGGAAAATGTAGCAGTTGATCACAATAAAAAGTTTTTGTTGTACTTTTTCATAACTTTCTCATGTTGGTTTGATTTTTCTTACTGAAACTTATTCTATGTTTGTTAATAACATTCCAATTAGGTTTTATTTGGGGTATGTTGTTAGTGTTTAAGATTTTCTACATTTGTTTTGTGCGTTCACCTCTAGTTGAGTGTGTTAACAAGCCATGCTGGACATGTACACATTAAAAATACTTGCTGTGAAAGAAAATCTTCAAGCTGCTTGTGCAGCAAAGTGCTTTCTGTGTTTCCCGAGGAGAAAAGCGGCACACACACGTAGTGCACACACCTTCCACGCTTCCTGAGGTGAGGTCACTGTCCGAAGGGCCCAGCTTCCTGGCTCACACGGGACAGGCAGCAGAATGGCCTTCTGGGTCATGGGGGGGGCAGGGCCTGGCTGCTCTCCAGGAAGCCGCATAAGCTCGGAGGAAGTTAGCGGGCTGCTCAGAACCTGCCATGTGACCCTCAGAGGAAGTTCATTGTTCTCAGCACCACTGAGGATTTGATCCAAACTCTAATTGTTGCGATCAGAATTAGACTTTAATTAGATGTTATTGTAACTGCAAACTGCAAGATGCCTGCTCATCTCCCCAGACAACTGTAATTATGAAAAATTCCTGCCAGTTCTTTTGTCTCTTATCTGAATCCTGTAGAGAATAGGAGAGACAGTGATCTCCAGCTACTTCATGTTTTGTTTTACATGAATATAAAAATAGTCCATCTTTGTCAGAAGACAAACAAACCAAATATTTACCTCACAAGTGGAGAAAACCACAAATCAGTGCTTATTCCACGCCTCAGTGCTTTAGGACTTCCTGTTCTTTCACCGAAACAGACTCGGTTCTACTACTCTAATGGTCACACGGAAAGCCGACAGTCAGCTGATGGGAATGTTGCACACTGGCCGGTCTCACGTGACATGAGTATTTACACGGAACTCCAACAGTAAATATTGGCAATATGGAGTACATCTGAATGAACCCAGGAGTCAGGTTTGGAAGGAGTTTCGAAATATTTCTGCCTAAAAAAAAAAAACTATTGCAAAGCTGACTTCATGTTAAGGTTTATATGAAATAATGTTTACATGAACTGAAGCTGTTTTAAGAACATTCCACCATAGCAGTGGGTTTGATCAGAAAGGCAGTTTTTAAGGTCTCAACACTCAAGTCTGTCTGGGGGAGAGAAGGTTGCTTTAAAGTCCTGAAATTACTCAGATTAAGGGCAACAGAGGCACCCAAAAATAAAATAAACCAGAACACACATATTTTAAAAAGTAAGCTGATGGATGAACAACATCAGGTTGGCACAGGACACAATTACCCAAAAACAACAAGTCACAGTTGTAATGTTAGATAAACTGGATACTTATCTCAGTATGTGTATTTGAACTCTACTTGAGACCAATAAACTGTGATACTCTATTTAAATATAGAACATCACCTTGCCTGGTCTTTATTTGATTCAGTCAGAAGATTCTAGGATTCTTTTATTCATTAGGGAATTGTACACACTTCGTTTCTATTCAAGAAACAGTCAGGTTTATAAAAATAAGACTTTATTTTACAAACAATTAAGACTTGACAAATTTTTTAAACTATCATTTACTGTGAGTGGATGCGAACTACAGGATGGCGTCTGGAACTTATGAGTAAGTATAATGTAATGAGAATCTCTGTATCTCAGAGGGCTGAGTTTCTGGATTTAAAAGAATTTGGTTTGCAAATAAGCTAAGTTGTTTCTTATTAAAAGCACTGAGACACAATCTGTCTGAAGTGTCTACCTCACCCGTTCTGGAGACCCCTGTCTGGATCCGAGATGTGAGGAGTGATGACCTCAAGCACGAGATGGGTAGAGAAACCTTAATACAACCAGGTCGGTCCTGAGATGTCTCTGGGTCACAACGACTGATGAAACTGGTTGCGTCTTAAAAATAACTCTGAAGGAGTTTTGCAATATCACCTTGTTCTGCAGGAAACTATCTTGTTATCAGCTTCGCAGGTGCGAAAAAAGTTTTGACGATGTGTCAAAATCTTTGCTGGTTGAAGAGGTTTGCTAAAGATGGCCAGTCTGAAGTTTGCCCTCAAACTCACAAATTACTCAAAGCCATCTAGTTTTAAGGAATCGATATGATTTGGCCAGCCAATTAGGGGCTGACAAGTTTGAGAGATGTTACCAAGAATCTCAGAAACACGCCCTCTTTGATCTGGAGACTATGAATCTGGGCAAAAGGTTAACTAAGTGTCATGCGTTAACTTAACATTACTCTGTCTATGTGTGAGTGCAGATGTTATGACTTTATCAAGTAAGTAGCAATAACAAAGGTTTATTTAATGATTATCTTTAATTATAAAAATCTTTTCGTCTGATCTTCTGTGAATCGAGGAGTTCATTTAATGAGTTCCTCTGTAAAGGGGGACCTTGGTAGGAGAGAATGTTATTGTTATGATTTTATTATCTCTGTCCGGCTCTGACTCCAGCTGGTGTGATGAAGTCAGGCTCTGATTTAAAGGGACTACGTGCAGACTTCCCGTCTCCTGTGACGGAAATCAACGTAGGTTGGAGTCGTAGTCAGGTCAAGTCAACCTGACTGTAGATTTGACCTGTGGGTCTCAAAATCAGGCCATTTCGTGATGTTACACAGCTGATGAGGATGAAGCTGGCTAGTCAACAGGTACTTGTGGGAAATGACTAGAGTAGCTGGGCTGGTGCATGGATGGAAACCAGGTGAGTGAAGGGCAGAGTCGGCAGGAAAAAAAGTCCTACTACCATGTTGTCAAAACAGACTTAACACCTCTGGATCAGTCAAAAGCTTCTTCTCAAACCTCCAGTGACTCGTGACAGATGGCTGCCCATACTACTCCAGGTTCTGTTGGAGGTTTCTTCCTGTTAAAAGGGAGTTTTCCTCTCCACTGTCACTACATGCTTGTTTAGTATGAGGATTGCTGTAAAGTCTGACACCAGTCAGTGACGTGATGAGTTTTCTTCCATAGGAAACTTTAATAAGTGCTCTGAGAACACTGGGCAACACTTTACAACAAGGGTGCTGTTAGTAATGTTACTTAGTGCACAATTAGGCATTAATAAGCAATTCAATTCAAAAATACTTTATTAGTTCCAGAGGGAAACTGATTGCTGTAGTAGCTCAGAATAATAATAATAATCAAGTCGTCAAAGAGTTGTTGTATATTACAATGGCTGTTGGCAGGAAGGATCTCCAGTAGCGGTCAGTGTTGCAGCCAAACTGAAGAAGCCTCTGACTGAAGACACTCTTCCGTTGTCGGACAGTCTTGTGAAGTGAATGCTCAGGGTTGTCCATCATTTTCTTGATTCTCTGGAGAATCCTTCTTTGCATTATCTCCTCCAGTGGTTCCACAGTCGTCCCCAGAACAGAACCAGCCTTTTTTATTAGGCTGTTGAGCCTTTTCAGGTCCCTGCTTCTGATGCTGCTACCCCAACAGACGATGGCTGAAGAGATTACACTCTCAACAACAGACTTGTAGAAGATCTGCAGCATCTTGCTACAGACATTGAAGGACCTAAGCGTCCTCAAGAAGTGCAGTCTGCTGTGTCCCTTCTTGTAAACGGCTTCTCTGTTCTTTCTCCAGTCCAGTCTGTTGTCCAGGTGAACTCCAAGGTATTTGTATTCCTCAAACACCTCCACTTCTTCTCCCTTGATGGAAACAGTGTTTGACTCCACCCTGTTTCTTCTGAAGTCTAAAATCATCTCCTTTGTTTTGTTCACGTTCAAGGTCAGATGATTGTTTCCACACCATGCCACAAAGCGCTCCACCAGCTCTCTGTACTCAGCTTCCTGTCCATCTCTGATACACCCGACAACTGCAGAGTCATCTGAGTATTTCTGTAGATGACAGGTCTCTGACTTGTACTGGACGTCTGAGGTGTACAGGGTGAAAAGGAATGGTGAGAGTACAGTCCCCTGTGGTGCTCCAATGTTACTGATCACCTGGTTTGATGTGCAGTTCTTCAGCCTCACAAACTGTGGTCTGTTTGTCAGGTAGTCTTTAATCCAGGTGATAGTTGAGGCCCCCACCTGTGTCTTTTGGAGTTTCTGGCAAAGTACATCAGGCTGGATTGTGTTAAATGCACTGGAGACATCAAAGAACATGACCCTCACAGTGCTGCCTGCTGTGTCCAGATGACAGTGGGTTGGTTGAAGCAGCTGGATGATGGCATCTTCAACTCCATCTCCATGGCGATAAGCAAACTGCAGCGGGTCCTGATATGTTCTAGTTTGCTTATTCAGGTGGACCAACAGGAGTCTCTCCAGGACCTTCATGATGTGGGATGTCAGGGCAACCGGTCTGTAGTCGTCATTGACTGATGGGCGAGTTTTCTTTGGAACTGGAACAAGGCAGGATGTCTTCCACAGGACTGGAACCTTCTCCTGGGCCAGGCTGAGGTTGAAGAGGTGCTGCAGAATCCCACAGAGCTGCTCTGCACAGGCCTTCAGTACCCTGGGGCTGACACCATCTGGACCTGCAGCCTTGTTCCTGTTCAGTCTCTCCAGCTGCCTCTTCACCTGACTTCTAGAGACAGATAGGTGGGAGGGGGAGGTAAATGGGGCAGCAGCATCTCCTGACTTGGTTGAAGACAGATTTATAGAACCAGAAGAGTCCATGACTGTGTTAGAGGACAAAAGAGCTGGCATGTGACAGGAAAATGTTGGATCAGAGGAGGATGGGATGTCTGATTGGCTGGGGACAGGTGAGGAGGATGCTGGGTTTGTTCCTGAACTGAACCTATTGAAGAACTTGTTCAGTTCATTGGCTGTGTCCAGGCTGCCATCTGTGCAATCCTTCCTCTGCTTGAAGCCTGTGATCTTCTTCATTCCTGACCAGACATCTCTGATATTGTTCCTCTGTAGTTTGTTCTCCAGCTTCTTCCTGTATGCCACCTTGCTGTCTCTGATCTTGCTCTTTAGTTGCTTCTGTATACTCCTCAATAATTCCCTGTCTCCCTCCTTGACAGCTCTTTTTTTATTT